GAGGAGATGTCACAGGGAAATGAAACTTGCAGGATCTAGTATCCATTATGAGTCCCACAACTTGTATATCTCGGATTTTTCCTAAAGGTCATATGAGGTCAGGTCATTTTCGTGACCTCACCATTACCTATAAGTCAATGGGGAAAAATGAAAACTGCTATTCTGGCGCCGGGAGCGATCTCCAACTATCTCAAGCACACAGAATCGTGATTTTATGCACTCCTTGCAAGGTTAGATGCGTCACTTTTTCAATGTTGACCTTGCGTGACGTCATTTATGACGTCATCAAGGTCATATTAGTTTTTCGTCAATAACTCTTGATCAAATTGAGCTAGCGAGTCGGGAAAGCCACCAATGGACTCAGGAAGACCTGCCGAATCGAATGATATGCGACATGACCTCTTTCGACCAACTTCGTGACCTGGGGGTGCTGACCTGACCTTGACCTGAGGTCAACACCCCAAGTTGACCTGACCCGGACAAAAAGTATATCATTCGACGCGCCTGAGCGAGACGAACACGATGCTGCCAAAATCGGCGCTCTGCGGCCGTTTTTTGCGAAGTTATTCACCAAAAACTGAACCGTACCTTGGGGCACTTGACCTGACCTCAGAGGTCACCGGTTGACCTAGGACCTTAAAATCGGGTACCAATCTCTGCGTCTCGTAACGGCGCACACGCTCGTTTTTTCCGCGACGCGCTAGCTCCACCAGGGGCAAAACGGCGAGGGGGGGGGTCGTACCCGCCCCCCCCCCTCGGCCGGCGCGTATGTAGAAAACCAATAGGTCCGGCGAGGGTTAAAGTGTAAACTGTGAAATTATCGGTTCGATTTTGCACTCTGAAGCTTCTGAAACCCGCGCCGTGCTGCGGGGGAGGCGTTCTTGCACGGCCCAGCAGGTTTTTCGCGATATCTATGAAAAAGCGGCGGCGCTGCACGCCGCCGTTTTTGGTACACCTGTTAATAGACCTATTCCACACATGTTATGAAAATTTCAGGCCCCGGTCATTCAAGGTCAGGTCACCAGGTCACGTCAAGTGACCTTACCCTAGAAAAAGTTCAAAGGTTCGCTGTAGCTACGCCTACTGAACGATCGCTTTAAAACTTTCAGATTTTGATAAGAGTACCATTATGTATAAAATTTAACCCGCGCGGGGCTGGGGAGGGGGGTAAATTTTACCCCCCCCCTCGCGAATTTTTGCGATATCTCGAAAACTGCGGCGCGCAGCGCCGCCAAACTTTCAGTACCTTTTCTTACATCAATTTGACACGTTCTCTGAAAGTTTGAGCGAGATCCGTCGGAAAATGTTTGATAAATTGACGTTTTAGTGACGTCATGTTCGCCATTTTCGCCTCAAAAACGGCAAAAGTTAAAACGCCGCTAACATCTTCATTTTTAAAGGAATCAAGACGTAACAAAAAGGTTATACGTAATTTTACTTTGTCTATCAAATGGCTATCTCGGTTTTTTGAAAATTTTGGATTTTGGCCTAATTTTTTTCAAAAAACTGACTTTTTTGGGAAAATCATTATAAAATCCAAAATTTTGAGTCTATCGAAAAAACGGAATATATGTCAGAGAAGTGGTCTATGTGCACCTACATACCAAATTTTAGAAGAATCGGTTCAAAAATGTGGGAGCTATTCAAAATTTTATGACGTCACGACACACAATTTTTTTGAAAAATGACTTTTTTGGAAGTTCTAGACCTCGTACGGAAACAAAAATAGCACCATTCGATTCGCCGTGGAAAACTGCATCAGATAGACACCTTTTTAGGCCTTAACAACCAACTTCAAAATTTGACCTCACTTGACCTGACCTTGACCTGACCTCGACCTGAAATTCATCCAGAGGTGGTACATATCACTTATTGAGTGTGCCTATTGAATTCTATGAGTAAAATGACCCATAAAACATGTGTCGCACATGCCCTTTTCTATATTTTGTTTTTTGGTGACCTGACCTGACCTGACCTGACCTTGACCTTGACCTCTGAATGATATTGTATGCAACGAATATTGTCTTGGTAGCCTAAGAACACGTTTTGGGCGATCAGTCTCAGTCCATGACTCCATTCTTCGGCAACTACGGTGCAAGGCCGATACTGTAGAAACTTGCAATTTGTACCCTTGACCTGACCTTGACCTTGACCTCAAACTTTAAATTAAGTACATGTTTGTAGTAGTTCGTGATGAGAGCTTTCGATTGGCGTTTGAATTTTCCAAATCGGACCATTAGTTCGGGAGATAACAGGGGGGGTAAAATTTACCCCCCCCCCCAACCCCGCGCGTTCGGCTGGAGACCCCAGCCCCGCGCGGGTTGAGTATCTGAACTTGGATATCTGTGACCTAAGGCCAGGTCCATTTTGTGACCTCCCCATTTTAGGCAATGGTAGAATATTGAAATGCGCCTGTTTTGGACGGATGTCGTTCTAAACACTCTCAAACATGGGTTTATAGGTTAACTCTATTCCTGGCGGGGGGGCCTCAGGAGCCCCCCCTGAGGTTTTTTGGTTATTTCTCCCAAACGCGTTGAGCTAGGAAGCTCAAATTTTCTGACTTTTCCTATAAGGCTTCTACGCAACATGTCTGAAAATTTTGAGTTGATCTGACCTCAGGTCAGGTCACCAGAGGCGGTTTGGTGACCCTACCTCAGAAAAGTTTGCAATCACGCCAGAGCTAGAGTTTTTGACCGATCAATTTCTTCTCTTCAGGCTTTAGTTAGGGTACCAGTATGTGCAATTTGTATATCTCGGAATTTTGATATCGGTGACCTAAGGTCAGGTCAATTTCGCGACCTCCCCATTGTAAGTCAATGGGGGAAAAATCAACTCCCTGTTTTTACCACTAAAACGGGTCGGAATGGCCCCATATACCATACATGACTTCATATACGATCAACCTTCACTACCTTGAGGTCTGTTTTGCTGTTGGGCAGCTGTGAGGTCATGTGACGTCATCAAAGGTCACCAAAGGTTTTTGGCCAATAACTCCGTACAGGAACAAGATACAGACGCGTGGATGGTCTCATTGTGTTCAGCTCGTCAAGACGCATCGAATGATATACATGATGACCTCGAGGTCACGTGACCTAAGGTCAACCTTTGACCTTGACCTTTCGAGGTCAACATATATATCATTCGATGCGGATTGACGAGAGGATCACGATGATGCCCTTAGTTTGTTCCTATCTTGACTAATTCGAAAGTTAGTCGAGAAAAACTCTCTCCATATCTAGCGCCGCCATTTTGACTTTTTCGACCCCTGTGACGTCATCTTTGACCTGACCTGAAAATGACCTTTGTAAAAATTGTAGACCTTGTCCATGCGTATCCGATGCCGTTTACCGCTTGTCGCTATCTTGCTTCGTTCTCGAGATCTCAGGGGGGGGGGGCCGAATCGGCCCCCCCCGCCAGTTTCTTGTCCCGGCGGAGTCCGCCAGGAATAGGGTTAAAGGGACCCTCCCACCTTCAAAAAAGTTAATGAATTGGCACGAAAGTGATGTCGCTCGGTTCAGAAAGAGCGAAAACGAATATCTACCAAATTTCATCGAAAAATATTCACCGGTTTTCAAGATATTAGACTTTTACTTTTGTTTACTTTTTGGGATCTCCGCTGTTCCTAGCGACTTTATTTGAAAGTGCGGCATTTGTTGCGCGCAAAGCAGCATATACCACCGCGTGCTACCAAACGTTTTAGTAAAAGATCTAAAAATCGTTAGATCTCCGCTGACGTCACAAATTCTAAGGGGGCATACCAATGCACTAGCCCCTTAGAATCCGAAAACTGCAAGTTTGAAATTCCATATCTCCGAATTAAAGCATTTGTCGATGTTGTGAGTGCCCAAACCGGTATTTGCAGGCCATGGCCACCAATTTGGCTATCTCAACTCAAAACTAGTGTTAAGGTGGGAGTGTCCCTTTAAAATGACACACTGAATCGAAAATTGCACCCGTGACCCCTCTGTGTGCCCCTGAGGTCATGTCAGGTCACGAAAGGTCGCCATCGGTTTTTACAATAACTTTTGATATAGACGTGCTAGAGCGGTGAAAACACGCCAGATGTCATCAGCTCGACGATACAGATCGACTGATATGCAGCATGACCGTTTCGGTCAGGTCATGACCTTGACTTGAGGTCAAATTTTCAAAATGACCGTTCAAGGTCAACTTATAGTTCACTCGACGCGTCTCTATGAGAGGAACACGATGCTGGCAAAAGTTATGTGGCTCTCTTGAGTCGAAAGTTATTACCGAAAAACATTTGCATGAAACGACTATTTTTAGTTGTTGCCATTGCAAGGCACTTACCTACATGGTTCGACGCACACCACAAATCAAGCGGTACCGATACGGGGGGGAGGGAGGCAGTTAGTTTGATGCAGCGTGAAGCAAGGTGGGAAAATCTAAGTCAAATGAAGGTCATTTGATGTCTCTTTGTTATTCTTGCGCAGACCAATGTGAAATTGCATTTGTCCCGTATGGAAGGGAAAACCTACACCAATGTATTTCAATACATTGTCTAATACGATATTGAATCAAACCTCGAGGCATGTAGTTTTTATGAGCAAACAGTGAGCGTTCTCAGTAGGAACTCATCTCACTCCGTGACTCCGGGAGGACGAACTCATCGCACTTCGTAACTCCGTGAGGACGAGTCGACGGTACCCCTCGCCGCCCTCTCCTCAGCTATGCGTACATCACGTATGTCTACTATCTATTATTATGCATATTTATATCAATACAGTATCGATTATAACAATATAACTATAACGCATCTGTAATGTATCATGTTTCTGGTCGGGTATTCGGTACCCAATAAAAAGTGGGTGACGGAACTTTTCCTGTCTTCTCTTTACGAGCGACTCCATTAGCCAAAACAGTTTTTCTGACGAGATCGAAGAGGTGTGCGTGTACCTTTGCCGATTCTATCGTCAAAAGAAGGGATATTTAAGCGCATTTATCAGTCCTCTGATTAATGTGGAACACTCGCACGCATACTCGTTATTGAGAAGTATATTGCCAAATAAATGCCATTCACATATCACGGGACATGGACAGCAAACAGTTCTACAGGGCGTTACACCATTCAGTCGAACAGGCACATGACACTTTCTTTACTGACGTGCACCACATTTCTTCAGATGGCCACATGTGAGTGTTCAGAGACACCACTAGTGAATAAGACATCAAAACACCTTGCACGCTACCGGTCTAAGGCCGCACCGCTGCACGTGCTGATGCTGCCCTAAAACATCTAAATTCGACTGTCAGTGAGAGTGCTCGCCAAGGGGTAATGCCACCGCGAACGGCTTTTCATTCGGTGAGCAGCTGCGTCTGGTGGCAAACGGTGAGCTCTCACTGGTGAGAACTGGTGAGCGCTGGGCAGCTCCAGCCCGAGGCTGTCTTCGTTCGCCATCACCGGAGGGGCGGCTGGCCGACACTGGAACGAGAACAGAGGTGTTGCTATACCTGCTATGTTATGTAGTTATGTGCTATGTTATGTAGAGTTATGTTACGATGTGTTATTTGCCATTGATGCGTTTTAAAAGCTAAGAATCTTAAGCTACGTGCGTGCAAAGGAAGGCTGGCTGGAATATACAACTGCTCACTGCACAGCCTGTATTCATCTCATGGGTTATTGTTAATTAAACTGTAAAATAAATCTCTTAAATAACAATATTTGTCATTAACCGTGATAAGGATAGTCCTAATCTAACTGATATGCCGGTAATGTTAGTAGTTTCTGTCCTGTTGTGTTATGAATGTAATTTAACCGCTTTCTTACCTGTGCGATTACAGGATGCAGGCCTTCAGAGTACAGGCGCCACCGCAAGTGCACGTGTTGCACTCTTCCTTGTAAGTAGAGCCGGGAAGGCACTCTGCGTCTGAAATATGATAGCATTGTTATAAAGTAACTTGGTCGTACTCTTATATGTAGGTAACATGGCAACATGGTGGCTGGTTCACTGATTTCTGTATAAAAAAAAAACAAGTAACCGAAATGACGTAGCGATGGTAAGTACATTAGGGGAGAGTGGGGTAAGATGCCCAGGGTGGGAAAGACGCCCCATCCCCTCTAGCGGCGAAACAAAGAATCGGACCTGGAAATTAATGTTCTTAGCGTAAAGCGGAAGCCTGCCTTGTTAACTGCACAAAAATTTGCGAAGCTCAGTTGGGCAACGGCTGGCTGATAATTGCATGTTTTTTATTTGCTGCTTTCAAAAAATATTTTGGTATCAAAACATTGTAAATATCAAAGAAGGTAAACAATTTTTGCGCCCCTTGCTATAGTCGTGATACATTAGAATGTGTGTACTGTGTCCTAAACAGTTTGTTTCAGGGTGTAGTTTTATGGCTAACAAATTGTACTGATTTAATGTTACTTCGGTACCTTGGGGTAAGATGCCCCCTATCCTAATGGGGAAAGACGCCCCCCTAAATCCGTAGGCTGTCCTTCAAACAGCCCGTCAAATCATTTATTACATACTTGTGATGTAGACAAAAGCCGATCTGGGGCTATTGAGAGTCCAGTACGGTCGGGTGCTCCCCATGCCGGTCTCTCGGCCCACATAGCGACTTTTTGGGCGGCATCTGACTCTGAGAGCCCTCACGACGGCCTCTGTGGGCCCCATTATTGGCTCCAGGGCCCCTCACGACATCCTTTGAGGGCTCCTACGTTGGCCCCACGGGCCGCGCTGGCATCGGAGGTCCCCACGATGGGCTGGAGGGCCCTCAAGCATCATGAAGACCTATAAGAGCCCCACAGTGGTCTCCGAACGCCACCACGGAGGCTTGTTTGGCCGCGCTGGACTATGATGGCCCTAACGATGACCTCTGAAGCCCCTTACGACTACTTTTGAGGGCCCTTATGATGACGTTTGGTGTCTACTGCAGGCTCAAAGGGACTACTGATTCGTTCAGGCGATTCACGTGCCCATTTATGTCACTTATAGTGCAGGGGCATCTTTCCCAACGTCAGGGGGCGTCTTTCCCACCCTGTGGGGTAAGATGCCCCCTTTCACTTCTTCAGGAAAATGCTTAATAGCAAAAAAAGTTATAATATTTCAGGCACGAAAGTGTGATATTTTTGGAGAAAAATGATGTCGGCTTCCGTTGAAACTCCAAGTTTTTGCCTTCCCATCGTCATTTTCGAATAATATATGACATAGCAAAACCCTGGGCATCTTTCCCCACTCTCCCCTACCTATCAGGAAATTGAATGTTTTGTGACAAACTTGCAGCAAAGCAGCTATGGCTACCCGCGATTGCTTAGTATTCGACTGCACCCGTATCACGATATCACGACATATGTCCCAGGGTTAAGCTAAATATTTCTAATAAATTCCAAGCGCCCACCTTTCTCCTGGGTCTTGACGATGCCCTCGTGGCACATGACCCTCCTGCCGGCGCGCTGAGGCAGGTCGTCGGCGCCGCTGCAGGTCTTGGGCTCCTCGGCCGTCTGGCCCGGCTTGCAGGCCTTCCTGGTGCAGCCGTAGAACTCGCCGTTGACGCACTCGCAGTCGTTATCACACTCGTCGATGAACGACTTTCCGTGAGCACAAGCTCCTGAAAACGCGTCACAAATGCTAGGTGTCACTTGTAAACCTAAGATGCTGGAAGACCTGGGTGAATTGGAATATAAAGTTTTTTTAACATAAACAAAAATTTTGTTTTTTAACATTTTAAATTTAGTTTTTGTTTTTTAATATAAAGTTTTTGGATTTTTGTGTCATTTGGCTATAAGCAGTGCTCACTGCATTGCCAGTAAATACACGTGAGAAAGGGCAGCTCACCTTGCTTCGGAGCGCATTCCTTCAGAGTGCAGCCCATCTGACCCTGTTCTCCGCAGAAACAGCTGTTGCAGTCCTCTTTGAACAGGGATTTTGGAATGCAGGAATCCTCTGAGGGAGAACACACAAATTGGTATAGGTACGTACATTGGTGGCAACTATGATAGCAGAGTCGTAGACGCTTGGTACACGCTGATAAACTTCTCGTATTGAATTGTATTGAAAAGTGTTGAAAATCGGTCCGGTAACTTGCTTTTAAGCCCAAGAATAGCTCAGATCACAGCGGTACCTACCTTTGTCGCGTTATAGAATTATCACAAAATGACGCAACATGCAAAGCAATGTTGATATTTTTTATGAAGTGCATCATGGGTCCCAATCAGCTTGAATGATCTCCAAACATCCTTCATTACGTGCAACCAAGTGATGCTATAAATCCCTGTCCCGTTGTCCGCCTTCTTACCCTTATTCTGGAGCTTGACGATGCCGTCGTGGCAGAAGACGCGCTTGCCCTTCCTCTCGGGCAGGTCAGCGCTGCTCGTGCAGGTCATGGGTTTCGCGCCGGTCTGGCCCGGCTGACACGCCTTGTACGTACACCCGTAGCCGTCACCGCCGCAAGTACAGTCGTTGCCGCACTCGTCGATGAATTCCAGGCCGTGAGGACACTCTGCAAGCACAAATAGTGTTGGCGTGAGTCGAGGGTGGCTGTGCTGTTCAAGAAACTCCGTTGCTAGACGGGTAAAATATTTCCTAAAACATATAATTCCTAACGAGTATGGGCACGTGAGGGCGCATTAAGTAAAATCGTAAAATGTTGCAAATATATGAGTGGTATGCATCGCGCATCGAGCACATTCGTCCATGCTTCTTGTTACCTTTAGTGCTGACCGTCCAGTGTCTATATGAAACTCAGTTTTTGTTTTGGTTAGGCCTCTTGGTCTATTCAGAGTTAGGACCATTTCAGGGATTTTGGATGAGACTTGACAGTTCAAGTTAAATACCTTAGACTGAATCGATGGCATGGCACTGCTGCATGGTACCGGCTCAGTCAATGCAGTTGGGACGGGAACATCTCGTTGGGAGAGACAGCCCATCCACTCAGTTAGTCGTCCCGGAAGGGTTTAATCCTAGCACAGCGCGGACAGCGCACGAGCACTCACTGGTGGAGGGTCCGCAGGTACTGAAGAACGGCCCAGACTCGGTCAGTACCGTGCCCGGCGGGCACGGCTCGCCGGGCATGACGGTGACGTCGCCCGGGTTACCGATGGCGCAGGGGCAGTCGTAGCAGTCCCTGGCCTTGTTGTAGGACTGGCCGCAGTCTTGGGGACACTCTGGCAGGCCGTCCTCGCAGGTCACCGTCGACTCTGCCGGGACATAACGGTGGTCCGGTCAGCGCCAGCATCCACCACAAGAGCTTCCAGTCGCAGAAGTACCCCGAATAGCGGTGGATTTCCTTCAGTGAAAGGCGATGAGGATATCACAACATCATTACGCCTGTTGCTGTGTTGCTGCTATATCTCGCCTTCAGACACCTAACTAGATATTCTTTTCACTATTACACGCAATGATCGACATGCATCGCGCAAATCATATCGACTCCGGTGGCGGAACCCACCCGACTCCTCGCCGACGCAAGCTTTCAGAGTGCAGCCACTCTTTCCAGTGTCACTGCAGAAACATTCGTTGCACTCATCGTTGAAAACCGCACCGGCCAGACAGGTCTCATCTGCAAACAGAAGTATTGGGCTAAATAAAGGGCGAAACGGGCAACTACTTTATAAACTTATCACGGCTCATGCCGGTGCTTCGCGAAAAATGTCATGTTGAGGTGAGAGATTCTGCTTTTGGCTTCCATGTCTAGCGTTTATTGAAATGTTTCCCGAAATATTGTTTCCAATTTGACCTCAGCCCCAGGTTCAAACCTTGACACAAATAAAAGTTTCCATTTGTGTTTTGTATGCCTTTTGACAGCACATCCTTTTTAAGAGTAAGACGTATTGGATTGCAGCAGCTCTTCCAGAAATTGAGCGCACTCTTTCGGAGAGTGATGCTACTCACTGCACAAACATAAACTCACCATTGTCCTGCACCTTGACGATACCATCATGGCAGAAGACGCGTCGGTTTGCCCTGTACGGCAGGTCGGCCGTTCCACTGCACGACATGGGCATCATACTGATCTGCCCCGCGCGGCATTCTTTCCGCGTGCAGGCGTACTTGCCCTCCAGGCAGCGGCAGTTGTTGTCACACTCGTCGATGTACTCGTCTCCGTATCTGCATTCTGAGGACGGAACGGGACCCTCAGTGAGTGGGGACTAGTGAAACCAATCTTGAACATTTGCGAACAGCTAAATCATGCTGATTGAAAAGCGTATGATTTAGCCGGTAAGCATTGCGGCTATTTGGGCTGTGGAGTGGAAAAGCGTGAGAGATTTTGCTTTGCTTATCGCTTATGCTGAATTAAGATGTGGACGGTACCCGATTTTCGTAATATCCAACTAATTGTAGATATTTTATGCGTGTCGGGAGATGGAGAAACAGCTTTTGAATAAAGCTTCCATCAAAGGCAGTGGGCATAAGAATAAGCCCAAATCATTTCAGTTTTCACAAATGTCTGTATCCGTACTTTTTTCGTGCAGCTTGACGATGCCGTCCTCGCAGACCACCTCGGCGCCGGCTCGGGAGGGCAGGTTGTCGGAGCTGGTGCACCGCATCGGTACCTCCGGCCGCTCGCCCGGCTTGCAGGCCTTGAACGTGCACCCGTAGAATTCGTTGTTGACGCAGGTGCAGTCGTTGTTGCACTCGTCGATGAAGCCTGGCCCGTATGAGCAGCTGGAGTCTGCCGGCAAACAATGGTGGATACCTTGCTTAGTGGTGATTTTGATGGGCATTTAAACACTCCCCTCAGCTTCATGGCAGAATGTAAGAAAGCCAACTCCAGCTGAGGCGGATTAAAATATTTGGAGAGTTGATGCATCACATCCTGCTCGCAGTTTGGCCTGCATAACAACAGCGGTTTCTGGTAATGATTGCACTCAGATTGTTAATTTACCGAAGGAATCAAATTTACTCTACGAAAGATGAGTGCAGGACCTGAAAGAATTCTCGAACCCATTGGTCACAATAAGGTCACAAAGTTCACAACAATCGACATGAAATTATAGTTATGTCGATTATTATAGTTTGCAAATATTCTCGGGCCGAGATTTAGTTTATACCCAACACCTTCACCGACTTACCGGTTCTCAGATCAATGCACGCCTTCAAAGTGCACGCTTCCGCCCCGGAGTCGGAACAGCGGCATGTGTTGCAGTCTTCCTTATCCTTAAAGACGGAGCCCGGCAGGCACTTAGCATCTGAAACAGCAATCAGCTCAATTGCAATAAGGACAGCCATGAGCCAACATACTGTAACTGTCGCGATCGGCATGCCTTCTCTGGGTACTTTGGATACGGCTCAGAATGCCTATAATTTGTTCAGCTTGTTGACGAGGCATGACGGTCTAGAAACAAAGTTTTGCTTAAACTATTTTTGGGTAGAGGTTGCCAAATCCTCATCAAAATAATTATATGTAAAAAATGTGAATGTCATCAAAGCATTGCCAGCTATCTTCAATGCTGAGCGGGTTTAAACGGCTGACCCACCGCTCGGCTGTGTTTTGACGATGCCCTCGTGGCAGAAGACGCGCTGTCCGGTCCTCTTGGGCAGGCCGTCGGCGCCGCTGCAGGTCTTGGGCTTCTCGGACGTCTGTCCTGGCTTGCAGAGTTTCCTGGTGCAGCCGTACTTGCCGTCCGCGATGCACTTGCAGTCGTTGTCACACTCGTCAATGAAGCTCTGTCCGTGCTCGCAGGTCGGTCCCTCTGTAACAATTACACCAGCATTGTCACCAACTCTCCTAAGCGCTAGTGAATGAAGACAAGCTGAAGCGACTGAGCGTTGATTTTGAACGCACTTTGAGCATGGGATTCAATCCTACAAAATGGCGAACAATGCGACTCAAGAAAACATTACTTAAAACAGAATTAAGAAGCAGTACGTACCAGGGTTGTGCTCGACTCAAAAAAATTTGCCGACTCACCTCATCATTCAACTTCAGAATGCCCTGACTCAACTCTGACTCAAACAAGGAGCTGATTTTTTCCCTTGACTCGACTCATGACTCAAGCGGCTCAATGAAAATATGAGTTGACTCAAACTTGACTCAAATTTTTTGTTGAGTCAAGTGTGTTGAATCAAAATTGACTCAGATAAAAAAGTTGTTGAGCGGGGGGGGGGGGGTGAAAAAATCCGGCAGAAGGGCCAGGCCTATAAGTTGTTAAGCGGGGGAGAATGAAAAACTTGTACTATATATTGTTTCTAGAAAGTTTAGTCAGCTGACTCATGTTCCTAAATGTTTTTGACTCAACTCAATGTCAAAAGTTATTTTACTGACTCAACTCTGACTCAACTCAACACCTTAATATTTTTGTCCGACTCAACTCTGACTCAACTCAACAGCTCAACATTTTATCCGACTCGACTCAAATCTGACTCATTTGAGTCAGAGTTGAGTCAAATTTCTGACTCGACTCATGAGTCAAGCACAACCCTGGTACGTACTCCTTATAATTTATCATCAGTGCGTTTTGTGTAGTGTCTAGCAACTTACGTTCGGTTAAATAGTGAATACCCACCCCCACAATCATGGCCGGGCTATTCGTTATAGGACGCGTCAGTTCCACAATTCTGTCATGCACGGCTGAGGCTAGAAACGTATACCCGCTATCGCCGATTCGATTTCAATTTCAGCGATGATGTATGTGCACGTACCGGGTCCTGGTAGTGGTTTTACGCAAAACTTCAAAGTGCACGCAGCCACGCCCGCATCGGAGCACCGGCAAGTGTTGCAGTCTTCCTTGTCCTTGAATACGGAGCCCGGCAGACAATCGGCATCTGTAACAACGCATTTGTGCATCAGCGTATATTGCAGACACGATACACAGTCAACATTAATAGTCCTGCTGCCGGGTGTTGTAGGACCTCTGCAGCATCAGCTGCTGGATAGGGACTTGCGAAGCTTCCTACCTCTGACTGAGTGCAGTTTGTTACAAACCTGCAAGATCGTGTCCGCAAATTCCGAGCTCCCACAATCCAACCCAGATCCAAATTCATTTTCGAAACAAAATTCATTTAGCATAAACTGAACGAAAGTTTGATCACGACTAGGCATATAAGATAAAAATATGCAAAAGCAAGAGCAGAAGTTTAGAATGTTTACTCATTTATACTCGTAGCTAATCTCTTATTACCTACAGGCTACATAATAAGAGATTAGCTGAAGTAATTAATCGTTCTGGCTTAGGAGGTAGTCTTTGTAAAGCTGTACTTCATCCTAAATTATCAAAAAAACAAAAAAATCCAGAGCGCGCACCACCCACCGCTCGGCTGTGTTTTGACGATGCCCTCGTGGCAGAAGACGCGCTGTCCAGTCCTCTTGGGCAGGCCGTCGGCGCCGCTGCAGGTCTTGGGCTTCTCGGACGTCTGTCCTGGCCTGCAGAGTTTCCTGGTGCAGCCGTACTTGCCGTCCGCGATGCACTTGCAGTCGTTGTCACACTCGTCAATGAAGCTCTGTCCGTGCTGGCAGGTCGGTCCCTCTGTAACAATTACACCATCTCATAGCATTCACCATATCGCGCTGAGCGCCGGTATGTTATGAACAGACTGACAATTTATTTGATTTTATGCACTTTGAGCAGAAATCAAAGTTACACAATGGTAAAAATGCGGCTCAAAATCATAGTCGAACATTACTTGCTCTCTATTTTGTTATCAAACGCATCTACGCACATAGGTACCTATATTTGCGACGCGTGTATTACATTCTGTTGAACAGTGAATGTCCAATGCCCATCCCAATTATTTGTGACCGGGTTGGTAGTAATGATATGACGTGTTAGGTCGACAACCTTGTCATGCACGGCTGTAGGCGAAAACGTCTTTGGCCAGTTCGAATTCAGCGCTTTGTGCTTACTGGGTTCTGGTGTAATGCACAACTTGAAAGTGCATCCAGCCACGCCCCTATCGGTGCACCGACACGTGTTGCAGTCTTCCGCGTCTTTGAATACAGCACCCGGCAGACAATCGGCATCTGCAACAACGGTCAACGCGTTCATGTGTCAGCACATTCATGTCACATTCCCGGCCATGCTGCCAGGTGTTTTAGGTGAATTCGCTCGGATAAGATGTGCATTGTGCAAAGGAGAAAACAGCGTCGCTTTGAGATACTAACGGAAAACTGCGAGGGGTGCTCAAACAACTCCCAGCACGGCGAGGTCAAATTCGTAACACCCCAGGAGTTGCGGAGCGGCCCTTGCCTATTTAGGTGGAGTTCGATATATAACTCTGCACATCTTGTCGGCACATTCACCGATTCATTATAGCAAACCGAAACAAAACCGATTCAGCATAAACTGAAAGCAACTTTGATAGGCCATAAACGATCAGAGAAAATGTAAGAGAAGTAACAGAAAATATAGAAAAAGCAACTGAGACTTCGCATAATGAACTATAGTGCAACCGTTAACTATAGTGCAGCTGTTAGGTACTGGTTTAAATGATGCGTAGGTAAAGTCAAACCGGCAAAATCATACTTCGTCCTAAATTATCAGCAGTCTAGAGCACGCGCCACCCACCGCTCGGCTGTGTTTTGACGATGCCCTCGTGGCAGAAGACGCGCTGTCCAGTCCTCTTGGGCAGGCCGTCGGCGCCGCTGCAGGTCTTGGGCTTTTCGGACGTCTGTCCTGGCTTGCAGAGTTTCCTGGTGCAGCCGTACTTGCCGTCCGCAATGCACTTGCAGTCGTTGTCACACTCGTCAATGAAGCTCTGTCCATGCTGGCAGGACAGCGGCTCTGAAAGATGCCAACAATAATGCTCATGGTTCATCTTAGATTCAAGACTATGCGTACCGATTAGAGGTGGCAAAATGTGGACCCGAGGACCCGGTCCAAAGAACCAGTCTGGACCCATATGGGTCCAGACCGGTTCCTGGAACTTTTCTGACGGGTCCAACCGGGTCCTACCATTAACTATACATCTTGCACACTACACATTACCGCAAAATATGAAGTGAATGTTTCTTTGCACACAGTATCTCATGAGTATTCCCAGTGGGAAATAGGCTGTTTTACATGATGCAACTAATGATACCTACAAGTAGTTTGTATTAATTGACTTTTGGGGAACGGGTCCAACTGGTTCCGATTCCAACTAAGACCGGGTCCGACTGGTTCCAGAAATGTCCAGCCGGGTCTGGTTCGAGTCTGGTTCCCAAAATTTTCATCTTTTGCCACCTCTAGTACCGATTTCACACATTGGTTATACGGAACTGCTTTATTTTTTTTCTAAATCTCCATTGTAAATGTTTGTTTCTAAGATATTTGAATATGAAATAGTGATGTCGGTACACTTAAGGCCTGGCTACACTATGCGTTTTCTGCGTGCGTTTTTTGCGAGTTTGCGTGTTTTGCGTGATATCGTTCTAGAAAAAAAGTTATTATTAATATAACATCTTTAATATTTATATAAAAGTTAAAAACCGTTCATATTAATTAAAAGTTTATATGAAAAACATATAACTAAAACGTAATGTCGTTTCTTTCTAGAACGATATTCCGCAAATCACGCAAACTCGCAAAAAAAAACGCACGCAGAAAACGTATAGTGTAGCCAAACCTTTACAGCGAACATGCAAATTGCAATATGCCATTATTCTTCTTCAACCAAAAGTACCTACCTAAGCACACTATGCAGCCATAGTCCTAAGCAGCCAACTACACCATTCAACAAATACGTTATATTAATACGTCTTGTTACCAGCTGGAAAAACTACACACACCTCATTCTTTTGCATGCATGTCATTCCTCTCATCTCTGCAATCATCTGCCATTACAAGGCGACATATACCTTCTTCATCGCCTGTCCTCTTATAGGTGGTGACCCCTCTCCATACCTGGTTCGGGCAGCGGCACCGGCTCGGGGGGCTGCACCAGCGGGCTATCCCCGCACCTGCAGAACACGCACTTCTCGTTGCGGCTCACATAGCCGCAGTCCTGAGGACACTCGGTCTGTCCGTTGCAGAACTCTGTGTCGCTCTCAACTGTAACGGTAAAGAAAGGCGATGTTAGCTGCCTATATTGGTCAATTGTCGGTATTGTGAGTGGATTTTTGACAAAATGATTATCTTTTGAAACGAAAAGGAACCTAACAAATGAGAAAGAGGCGGATAGTGAAATAGCTCTCAACGATTTGCTGATATTATTCTGACAATGTTTCATTGGATCAGAGATCGCGAACGGTAGATCAATGTTGATTGATCTTTTTGTTGGACATTTAGGTGCATATCGGTGAATATCGAATGAGCTATAGCGTTGTAGGAATACGCGCTCTAAAGCTCTTCTATCCTTTTCGCTAACGTGTCCTTGCAGATAAGGCCTAAAGGTCAACAATGCTGATTTCAGAATAGGAGAGGCAAACTATTCGAAATGAACGTTTTTGTAAGCAACGAACACTCTTTTCCTATATGCTTTTATACTAATCCAGCATGATGTTGATTTATCCAGCATTGTGGTCCACGAATGAACTTACATCTGAACTTGGAAGGTCACCTTCAGAATAATGACATCACGTCAAGGTGACCTCAACTAACGTCTTCGAAATGGTAACCTTCCACATTTTCTGCTTCGTATTTATGTATAGCACTACGTATTCAGGACGTTTTCATTGCTCCGTGTCATGGCTCTATCCCTCCAAGGGACCGCTGACCAGTACCTTCAGTTGATATGTTTTGACGAGACCCTCACATGTATTGAACATAATGAACATTATATAATCAAAAAAGTAGTGACCATCACGATTCGAGAGCTGTGAAGCCGAAAACGCATCAAAAGTGACGATCTCTGAATGACCAGGCACCACTGGACAGCGAACAAAACATTTGACCTTATGCAGATTGCAGAGCTTAGCGATGATCCATCTTAGCAACCCCAAAAACACCTGCCTCAACTCCGAGCGCAAAGCCTCTGAGTGTCTCTCCCTGTCTGGTGCCTGACATCTTTACAGTTTGTTATCGTCTGCAGGCACCGGCAAAAAACCACCGAGAAGAGCCTTGGACATAGCAGCACAGCAAAACAGACTGCAGCCTCATTCAGCATTCTGTTTGGAGCGCGACCTTGAATCCCAAAGTGCGTGGCCTCCGTGGCAAGATGGCTATCACTGTGTGCAGAGGTCCCCCGCGATGTTACTCTGCCCTGAGGCTATTTAGGCGGCGTCCGCGTGCGTCCGATCGGGCCCACCTGGTAACAGTCACGGCTCGGGCGGCCGGGCTGTCAGAGAGCGAACAGAGGCACAGAGAGGCCGGGCAGGTCCAACTCAGCACAGCCAAGGACAACGTCCACCGGCGGCGCTGGGCCCCAGGCTACCTACATGGGCACCCGGCGGGGCTGGTTATACACCACACACGCCGCGTCAGCACTGTGTACCGAACACAGAGCGCAGCCCACACATGGCGAGTGGGGAGGTCGAAAACGGCGTGACTGGCGGGGGCCGAGCCGAGGCCGGCTTGATCCTGTATGTTCTGTGGCCGATTTCATAAAGCTTGGTAGTATTTTACCCCAAGGTGCATGTTGCGCCATTTAAACCGCGCCCAAGTGTGGGGGGTGTTTGAACACCCCCCCTACGGTTTTTCCAAGATATCTCAAAAACGGCGGCGCGGAGCGCCGCCGTTTTTGGTACACCTTATCATACATCAATTCTACACATGTTGTGAAAATTTCAGACCAAGGTCATTCAAGGTCAGGTCACCAGGTCACTTTAAGTGACCTCACCTCATAAAAAGTTTCAATGTCTGCCATAGCTACACCGAGTGGCCGATCACTTTGAAACTTTCAGCGATTGATGAGGGTAACTGTATCTATAAAGTGTTTATCTCGGAATTTTGATATCGGTGACCTAAGGTCAGGTCAATTTTGCGGCCTCTCCATTACCTATAAGTCAATGGGAGAAAATTGAAAAGCGTCTGTTTTGCACGAACGCTATTCTAGACACTCTCAAACATCGAGATGTAGGTAAAATTGACACACTGAACCGGAAAATGGCAACTGTGACCCCTCGTTATGTCCCCGAGGTCATCTCAGGTCACGAACAGAATCTAACAGTTTTTCGCTAATAACTTCTGATAGAGGCGTGCTAGAGCGCTGAAAACGCCTTAGATGTGTTCGGCTCGACGTTGCGGATCGACTGATATGCAACATGACCTTTTCCGGTCAGGTCATGACCTTGACCTGAGGTCAAATTTTCAAGTTGACCTTTCAAGGTCAACTGATAGTTCATTCGACGCGTCTCGATGAGAGGAACACGATGCTGGCAAAATTAATGTCATGTCTCTTTTGAGTCAAAAGTTACCGCCGAAAAACCGATTTTCGTAAAAACGGCTATTTTTGGAGTTTTTGCCCTCTGGAGGCTAAACCGTTGACCTGAGGTCAAATCTGAGAACATTACTCAGAAAGCTCTGTAAAAGGGCTATCGAATGCGCTTTTCCGCGGCGCTGTAGCTCTATCGGTTCCCGAGAAAGCCGTTGGCAGTTTCCAAAATGTTGAAATAGTCAACATTTTACCTTTGGTGACCTCTGGTGACCTGACCTTTGACCTGACCCAAAAAATGACTGTAGTGTTTTCGTCCTTATTTTGGACGTTCTTTCGATTGCCGCTTACCGCGTGTCGCTACGTGGCCCAGGAGCCGAGTTAGAAGGGGGGTGTTCAAACACCCCCCACACCAGGTCGTGGAAAATCCAGACTGACACTGGGGCGCGGGATAGACCCCGGTACGGCTCTCGCGAGATTAAGCGTTAGGTTTTGCACTTTTACATTTCCGGTTATATTTCAGAAACTAATCGATCTACGATGAAGCCATTTTTCACGATCATGGCCGGCTTGTGAACCAACAAGTCGATCGCATCTTCAACACTTTAAAGCTTAAGACGACGAAGACATAGCCTGATGTGTACAAAATTTTCTAGGTGCAAAACCTGCCGTTAAAACCCGCGAGACCTGTACTTGGTGGCTTCGATCACTGATCAGCTCGGAGGATGTTTTATGCACAGGTTGTGTGTCGGTATTCGTTTATTTTGGGCTGTAATTTACCTTTATCTTCCACTTAAATCATAATTAGAACATCAAATGTTTATGTCCTTAAATCCTACATGAAAGTATTCGGGCGAAATTTGCAATCAAAAGTGCGCCCAGCGTATGATACCCTTTTATGAAATCGGCCGCCTGTGGCACCAGTCAATGTTAGCTTGCTCCTCTCAACACGGATTGAGACTCTGGGAAGTGGGAAGCCCCTTTGACAAATGAAATCAACATTCATTTAGAGAAACACAGGATGCATTGGAGATGGAAAACTGGTTGGTTGATTACCTATGCCATCGCCTCATGCTCACAGTCTGCAGCTAAAAATGCAACCATAAACACAGTCGGCATTCAGTGCAGTGTCTTCGATCGAGAGAAAATGTGCATTGGTCATATTCTAACTCATTCCACAATAGCCGTGGTCGAATTCATGTTTGTTGTAAGAACACGTTCCTTGATTTTTCATAAAATGTAATGACGTTAAAATCATTAATATATACCTAATGTTTGTGAAACTAGTCCCAGGTCCTATCATCATAAACAAATTGATGTGAACTTCGTATTCTGTTTTATTATATTTCAATTCTTTTGATTTCTAAAATTTCCGTGTGAAGCCTCACATAAATGCACTGATTTCGGTTGAAAGGGACTATTCGTCAATTTTCTAGAATGCTTCATTTTTTTGTAGCTATTATCTATTTGCTTTTCAAATTATCTAAATTTGGCTCACCTACTCCTCACCTAGGTCACCTCAGGCCTGAAGCAATACCTCCGAAATGCACAGAAATGTAAAGCAGTGTTCTCACAAAGACCATTAACGACCTGAGCACTCAGTCGAAACTTTCGCCCTCAGGAACCATGGACATCAGGTGATAAGGCAAAGTTCATCACTACCCTTGTTTGGTACAGGCATGGATCCGTTCCCGCATATGGTCGCGGCCGTGGAAAACATGACCCGCACCCCCGCTTCCGGCTATGAGGGACGCGCTGACTTGCATGGCCGGTGGTGGGTACACACGGGCTCTGTTCGTTTCGCTGCGCATGACAGCCGACCGGGGCTGGTTGAACCCCTCTGTGAACCATGTACCGCTGACCTCGCGCCGCACCCAGTCAGGGTCACAGCGGGGTGTGCAAATGACAAATAACGACTCGCAAATAGCCAATGAACACCGTGGGGCAGCACCGTTCCGGGCAAGTGCCAAAACTAAGTAATTGTCGGCAATTTAGGCGTAATGAAATTGACGTTCAACGCTGGCCTACCTGTTGACCCTGAGGCAACTTTATTGTCTAGAGCCAGGTGACTCTATACTCTATAGTGGTTTGCAGTCTGTTGTGAGGTTACCATGGCAATGGCGACACCGTAGCGTTTCGTGCCATCGACTAGCACGAGTGCAGCTAGGTGCAAAACAGGATGCAGAGCCTGGTATCGCGCCGGCCCGGAAGTAACGATCGTGAAAGCCAGCCCAGCCCCAGCACGCACACATCATGTCCACGCACACAGCGAGTCGAAACAAAACAGACTTGTTAAAACCGGGACAACGTTGGAGTTGAAGCATGTTGTCCACGTTTTCCAAGCAATGTGCAGGCTGCAAGGGTTTGTCATGGAAAATGAAATATAATATACCTATCACGGCTCAAAGGGTTCCTCAGTAAACAATGTGGTTCCAGTTCTTTGACAACAAAACTTGATTGAACACAAAATTGGCCAGAAGTGATTGATCGACTAGGGAACAGAAAACACCGTCCTGCAGGTAAACAGCCGTTCGAACGTGATTGACCCGTAAAAGTGCTGCTGAATGTTGAAAATATCCGCGCTCCACTGGGCTATTTTGGTAGAATCGAGGTTGAAGTGTGGGGGAGGAGGAAAGTCTGGCGACAATGGCGTGACCAGCCAATGAAATGCTCGGGTGGTTAAAAATAGTCTTCATGGGGACGGGGAATGGCTCGGTCTTCAAGGCAGGTAATGACTTTCATGAGCTTTGGGCATCATTGTCGGTTCATTATCTTTTTGTAGCATGCTAAACGAATGTTAGGTTGCTGTTTTTAATGCCCGTTCTAAATTTGGAATTGTTTTGCCTATGCGCGACGCGCGTTGCACATGTCTTTCATGCGCTTATGGTAACGTTCAAGATTAAGTCGACATTACCCAAGTCATTCATTCACATTGCAGAATATTTTTTTTCTGGCAAATCATTTTTTCACGGTTTCGAACGTGAGCCGAGTCGACTTCACACGAACGGAAAGGGAAACTGCTTTCAAGGTCTTCCGTGACCTACGCAGCAACAAGTGATAAGCGGATTCAAAGGATCGCAATAGATTCCGCCGTAAGCATCGTGATAATTTTTTCGCGAAGGCAAAAAGCGATGCCATTTGAAGTCAACGAAGGTCAAGCTTTGCCATTGTTCGACTGACGTTGACAATATGTGACAGATGATGCCATAGATTGCGAGTTAAATATGGAGCACCTTTTGTACCTATAATGTAGCCTCGGCTGGCCTCTTTTTTACAAACGGCTTTGGTATAGGAAAAGGTCCTGATATGACTGATTCATCACATGTCATGTTTGTACAATAGCCTTGCCCCTGTTATAACTATGTCAATCACCATTGCATTACCATTACCTTTAACAATATTTTTCCAATGATAGTGTTTCCTGTGACCTGATAAGCTCAAATATGGGGATTGAACGCATTTCAAGATCATGACCTATGAATTCTAATGTGGCATGCTGCGTATCAGTTGCCTTGTCTAACACTTTTCTATGTTTTGTTTTTATCAAAAATGAACGGCCGAAAAAAAATGTGAGCTTAACTGACCTTACTTGACCATCAACCCATCATTGATGACTGATTATATAAGTCACTCATAAACATCATCAATAAAAGGATCACCGCTGCCTTCTATGGAAAATAGAACCTTTATAGTACGAGTAATCCACCGAGCGGGTGGGCCGGTCCGAATGCTTATCTGATTAAAAGTGATAAATGTGGAATATTTCAGATTTATTAAACTGTATTCACTTACGGATCCATTATGGCGGTCTTGGACGTTACAGGTGGGGGCATACCCCAAAAAACTTGTTTTCCAAATAAAAAACTCATCGGATTTCGATTCATTGCGCACTGCTGTGCAGTTGAAAACAAACTTTTCCTTATAAAAGCCGTTATATTTTCTTTTTATTCTTGAAAAACTGCAACTGGTAGTCGATTTCGGGCGCTGCGGGGGGGGGGGGCGGGCATTTACCCAAAATGACTCCCCCCTGGTTCCGCCAGTGACTGTACATATTCTCGATTGAGGCGTCACTGTGTGATACCTGCTTTGTTCCCTACAGCACGTAACTGAAACCTTTCCTAGGGAAACAAAATAAAATGCACAAAAATACAGACTCTATCGCGCTCACATCCGCTCCCACTGCGACTCACCTGGCACCGCCGCGGCGGCGGCGACGAAGCACACCAACAGCACGAGCCGGAGCATGGTGAACCACTGTCCGGCACGGCCCGGGGGCGGCGGCTAAATAGGCGACCCACCGCCGCCACCGCCCGCCGCGCCGGCTGGCCGGTCGCCGTAGCCGGGCACCGGGCGGAGTGCGCCCGCCAGACCAGAACAAACCCGAAGGCACATACAGCCAGCTCCACACGGCATTCGGAGAGAATTCCTTACCTAGATGTGCGGTCTTAAGTGTGCATTTGTCCGTGAAACGTATGTGCCGTAGCTTGTATGAAACATGCCCCTGTCTTTTCCCCTCGATATGTTTGAGTTGAATAAATTTAAGGTGCTTTCATTTGTTTCTGCATGTCTCTATGAAAACTTATGATCGGAAGTTTGATGGTTACCTGTTGTGACCTAACATGGCCTGAGGGGTATAAAAGGGAGTCGGGATCATGGTTCAAGTTTTTTTTTCTAATTCCTCATTCAATATCAATTTCTCATACGACATAAAATCCTTCCGGGCGGAGGGAGAATAGGGTTACTTCTAAAGGTACTCCAACTCAGCTCAGTTTAACACCTACCAAAGATTTTTCAGTAGTGTGGTGTGGTTCAATGCTTAACCCTCGCCCTGGCAGGGCATTTTTCATAACACGGCCTGGCAGGGGGGGTCGATGCGACCCCCCCCCCCCTGGCGATTGGCTCCTATGGCACCTAGAAGCACCAAATTTGGTAGGTAGGTGGGCCCCTTAGTGTTCTCGCCCCTGTGCAAATTTGGTTGCTCTAGGTCAATATTTAGGGGGGGGGGTTTGGGAGTATAAATGTAAAAATATCGCTAAAAACAGGTAAAAAGTTTTTTTCATTTATAACGTTTGATCTAATTAAGATAGAGAGCAAAAATAAAAGCACCAGTGAGCTCAGCACGTCAAGGCGCGTCGAATGGTGTACTTTTTAGCTTGCTCAAGTGTACTTAAAGTTTTTCTTAAATTTTAAGTAAACTTTAATTAATTAATTAAGTTAAAATTAACCAAATTGCATCATATCGCATATCATTCGATTCGACTAATCACAAGGAATACAATGACACCATTTTTAAGCTCTAGCGTCATTATGTGCCAGTTATTGGCAAAAACATCATTTGACCTCAGTTGACCTCATTTGACCTAACCCATGGATAAGTACACCAAACAAAGAAGCACTAAGTGACCTGCTGTTAAGTACTGTGGTTTCAAAGCATAAAAGTGATAGAACGAAGCGCATATCTCCAGTATTTTCCGAATTTAGTATTTTCCCCTAGGCCTAACATTACGACGTAATGACCTCTAACTGACCTCAGGTCAGTGACATAAAAATCCCGAACTATATGTTATAAAACTCGGTGAACTTAGCACACCCTGAGAGTTTGAAGAAAATCAGTCAAAAACTGTGAGCTGGACAGGTGCAAAAAGAAAATTGAAATTTGACCATGACCTTGTACCGGTTTTTCTGACCTGGTGACCTGACCCAAGGTCACCTGGACCTGAAATTTTTATGTCATATGTAAAAAGGCTGCCCCATAGGCCGTGCCAAATGTGGCGGCGCTGCGCGCCGCCGTTTTTACGCTATCTTCGAAAATCCTTAGGGGGGGGGTCACATCGACCCCCCTCTGCCAGGGCGAGGGTTAAAGAAATCGCCTATAGGTATCCTCTGCTGCCGATCTCTCTCTCTCTCTCTCTCTCTCTCTCTCTCTCTCTCTCTCTCTCTCTCTCTCTCTCTCTTTTGTCACTCTTTCTCTCTCTCCCTCTCTCGCTCTCTCTTTCTCTCTTTCTCTCTCTCACTTTCTCTCTTTCTCTCTCTCTCTCTCACTTTCTCTTTTTCTCCCTTCCTTGCCTGATTCTTTCCCGTTTACTAGTGAACAGTTCGCTAGCCTACATTTCCTTCTCCCAAACATAAACGCATGCATGTATTTTCTGGTGGGAGTTATAGCTTCTACACAGACAGTGTGTAACATAAACAAATGCTGGGCAGTCCGAGGCGCGTTAGTCACTTGTTCCCGTTTCCCTCGCCACTGTCAACTGCCTACAGGCGATGATATGAAACAGTCGCCGAACAAAGAGACACCGCTAGCGTACTTGTATGTATGTATAACTGAACAGCGAAGTGCTGGCAGCACTACCAGTCAAGCTTAATCGGATGATTACCTATCCGCGCATCGCTGGAGCTCCTGAGTTTTCACGCTTTGCTGGGGGGGGGGGGGGATGAACACCCCTTCTATATCGGCTCCTGGGCCACGTAGCGACACGCAGTAGAGTAGGAGACGTTCGAAAAAGCGTTAAACAGCGCTCGTGATATTCCAATGGTGACCCCAAACTCTAAACAGCAACATTTTTTTAAGTTTGTCCTAACCTGAAAGGTCAATAATGACATAGAAATTAAACTTGGGTATTGTTGGATTCGTCTCCTCCCAACAATTTGGATGATTTTGTTGCACAGGTCTATTACCATACCAGGATAGAAATGGCGCGAGAGGTGGCACCTGGCAACTCCGACCCATTTGCGTTCTATAGGATGGGAAAATCGCATTATAGTAATAATGAAAGTTTACAGTTCTACACCTTAGCTATAGCTTGGTAGCGTAGCGATGTACTTACATACACTGAACAATACAAAAGTGTCCATCAATTGCATTCATCATATCATTGTTCGTATGGTATACGCATACCTAAGTGACATTACATAGGCAGGTAAGTAATACTTTATCATTTTGCTATTTCTCATGACTTGTATTTTTAGGCATCCATATTACTTCATAAACAAAATGGTGGGTCGTGAAAAGCTAAACATTACAAGTACCTAAACAACTACAAGTAACTAAAGTACCTAAACAAAAGACATGGCACGAGTGTGCCAGATCTGGCCATGAATCCTACCCGGGCGGAGGGCAGAGGGCAGTGTAGGTGCGATCGACGGTGCGCAAAAGGCGCGCCAAAAGAAAATATCTGTGTTCTTCAAACATTGAATTTTTAAATTTAACCCGCGCCGGGCCGGTGCTCTGAGATTCCGCGCCGGGCCGGGGGTCTGAAGCTGAACACCCCCTTCTAACTCGGCTCCTGGGCCACGTAGCGACACGCGGTAAGCGGCAATCGAAAGAACATCCAAAATAAGGACGAAAACACTTCAGCAATTTTTTGGGTCAGGTCAAAGGTCAGGTCACCAGAGGTCAATGTTGACTATTTCAACCTTTTGGAAACTGCTGACGGCTATCTCGAGAACCGAAAGAGCTACAGCGCCGCGGAAAAGCGCATTCGATAGCCCTTTTACAGACCTGTCTGAGTATTGTTCTCAGATTTGACCTCAGGTCAACGGTTAGCCTCCAGAGGACAAAAACTCCAAAAATAACCGTTTTTACGAAAAGTGTTTTTTACGGCAATAACTTTTGACTCAAAAGAGCCATGACATTACTATTGCCAGCATCGTGTTCCTCTCGTCGAGACGCGTCGAATGAACTAGAATTTGACCTTGAAAGGTCAACTTGAAAATTTGACCTCTGGTCAAGGTCATGACCTGACTGGAAAAGGTCATGTTACATATCAGTCGATCCGCAACGTCGAGCCGAACACATCTAAGGCGTTTTCAGCGCTCTAGCACGCCTCTATACGAAGTTATTAGCGAAAAGCTGTTAGATTCTGTTCGTGACCTGAGATGACCTCGGGGACATAACGAGGGGTCACAGTTGCCATTTTTTGGGTTCAGTGTGTCAATTTTACCTACATCTCTATGTTTGAGAGTGTCTAGAATAGCGTTCGTGCGAAACAGACGCTTTTCAATTTTCTCCATTGCAATTGACTTATAATAGAGAGGCCGCAAAATTGACCTGACCGATATCAAAATTCCGAGATATAGATTTTATAGATAATGTTACTTTAATCAATCGCTGAAAGTTTCAAGGCAATCGATCAATCGGCTCACTTTAATGAAAAACAATATCAAATTTTTATCTGTATTCAATGTAAACGCGTTTCGATTATGTCTTTATCAATACATTGATACAATACAGATATAATGATTATGAACACAATGATTATGAATACAATGATTATATCTGTATTGTATCAATGTATTGATAAAGCCATAATCGAAACGCGTTTACATTGAATACAGATAAGAATTTGATATTGTTTTTATTGTGAACATTTGTCAAAATGAACAATATACAATCGGTATATTGTTGTTACCTATATTGTTAATCGGTATATATGACCAGCACTCTTGGCGTGACCTGGTGACCTGACCTAAGGCGACCTGGGTCTGAAATTTTCACAACATGTGCAGAAAAGATACACAAACAGGTGTGCCAAAAACGTCGGAACTCCGCGCCGCCGTTTTTGAGATATCTGCGAAAAACCGCAAGGCGGGGGGGGGGGGTTCAAACACCCCCTGGCCCGGCGCGGGTTAATGTCATTTCTACCAGTGGTCCTTGAATCAGGAATTACTCAGGTTTTTCAAAGATAGCGTAAAAACGGCGGCGGGCAGCGCCATCAAATTTGGCACAGCCTATGGAGCAGCCTTTTTACATGTGACCTGAAAATTTCAGGTCCGGGTGACATTGGGCCAGGTCACCAGATCAGCGAAACCGGTACAAGGTCATGGTCAAATTCCGATTTTCTGTACAACTCAGAGTTTGAACTGTTTTCCTTCAAACTATCAGGATGTGCTAAGGTTACCGAGTTGTATAACACATAGTTCGTTTTTTTATGTCACTGGAGGTTAGTTAGGCGTCATTACGTCGTAATGTTAATGCCTATGGGGAAAATATTCAATTCGGAAAATACTGGAGATATCCGCTTCATTCTATCACTTTTGTGCTTTGAAACCACAGTACACATTATGTCACTTGGTGCTTCTTTGTTTGGTGTACTTATCTATGGGTCAGGTCAAATGTGGTCAAGAGTTCAAATAATGAGGTTTGTGCCAATGACTTGTAACATAATAAAGATAAAGCTTTCAATATGGTACCATTCTGCTCCACTTGAACAGCCAAGTCGAATGATATGCAAAATTAAGCATTTCGGCCATTCCTAAGACTTAACCCGCGCCCCACTGGGGGGGGGGGCTATTTATAGCCCCCCTCCCGTTTTTCTGCAATAACTTCCAAACCGCTTGACGGATCGACGCCAAACTTTCAGTACCTTCGGCTGCATCAATTTGACACCTTGTGTCAAAATTTAAACTTCGTAGCTACCATAGGTCGGCCGGAAATGACGTCAGAGTGACGTCATGTTCGTCTGATTTCGACGCAAAACATTGAACCACGGCAATCGCTCCCAAGAGCTCAGTTTTTAAGCTAGATCCAATTTCTTTGCATGAAA